GAAAAACATAAACGAGCAAATTAACGAAACAATTAATTCATAGACAATACGTCTCCAAACATGTCTACTCCAAACGAGCCAAGTTCTATCAATTCATCTCCTCTCGGTTTTGAAATCGATTAATTCTACGACTCCTCCCCTTTCGGTTCTAAAAGTCGCAATTCATAAAATTAACAAACTTTAACTTGACAAATCAATATTTAAGCATAAATCAAAGTGTCACTCTTTGATTATATCAACAAATTAACCTAAGTGTCATTCTTAGGTTATAAACATCTACCAAGTTTAATTTATCAATTCATATTAAAACAACTCGTCAAGATTGAGCTATAGTCATGCATATAAATGAGATCAAACGGGAATGATTATCCCCTACCCCTAGCTAGAAGATTAACTACATATAATAAATTCAACACAACAAAATATTTCTCCTAAATTAACCATTATGCATGAATTAATTTAAAGAGAAAGTAAACTTAATTACATAACAAACTTCAAATGTTGAATCCAAGTACAAGCTTCCTCCAAATACAAAATGAAGAAAAATACAATAATAAGAAAAGAAAATAGAAAGAAGAAAGAGATGAAGAAAATGAAGAGGGAAGAACCCCTCCTCTTGTTCATGCATGCATGGTAGATGATCCCCCTTTGGTGGTGACTGATGTATCCTTTTATAGCCCAAGTAGTCTCCCCTTTAGTTGTAGTTTGATGAGAAATAGCTGAAAATCATGCCTACATAATGCCTACATAATGCCTAACTCTTTGGTGGTGACTGATGTATCCTTTTATAGCCCAAGTAGTCTCCCCTTTAGTTGTAGTTTGATGAGAAATAGCTTAAAATCATGCCTACATAATGCCTAACTCTCACCAATTCAACCACAAGGTCAAAAATAGGTAAGAAAACAGACCCAACTGTTGTCTGTGGTGGTTAGCGCCGCTAAGGTGGGGCTTAGCGCCGTTAAGGTGCGGCTGGTTCGCACGTCTTCACTATTTTAGCTCGTTCGGGCTCGTTTTAAGTCGGAATTGAGTTCTGTTTTTTTTCTACACGTAGCTAACGAACCGCTCTATCCAATGATGCTTGCAAACCACACTTTTGCCCAGAATACGAATTTTGTGGAATTTTCAACCTTTAAATGGTCGGTAACTTGCTTAACTTTACATTTCAGCCCCGTTTGGATTCATCCGAACTCGAAATCGAATTCCGCTTTTTCTCACTTGTCACCAACTAACTTATCTAGTTAGTTGTTCTTGAATGGTCAAGTTCCAAGCTTAATCTAATCCTCACGGGGTTTTCGACCTGCACACCAAAAATAAGAAGAAAACGAGAAAAATACACGAAAAACACAAGAGAAACCAAAATAGATCAAAACACATAATAGATTATAAAAACGAATAAAAACCAATAAAAAGATCCTAAAATGAGGGAAAACGAAGAATAAAACAATAAGAAAAATTGCAACAAAAATAGTACAAACAGTAAATAAAAATCTTAAATTCATATAATAAAATAAAAAAAAAACATAATTTATCAAATACGTGTAATATGATTAACTCTTACATACAATATCACTGAAAAAAATTAAAATAAATTATAATTTTTTAGAAATGATTTTAGTTTTTAATAAATAATTTTAATTTCTATTTCTAATTTTATTAATAGAATTTATCTTATTTTTTTTCATTCTCTTAAGTGAAACAAAATAAATAAAGTTTGTTAACTAAGATAATATAAAATGAACAATGCAATGATATAATATGAATTAATATAAGTAATAAAATATAAAAATAATCTAAATATAAACACAATAAATATAATATTTTAAATTTAATTTTTAAATTTATTTATAATTTATTTTAATTATTTTATTTTTTAATATAATAAATTATTTTTATATATTTATTTCTCATATAATTATATTTTAATAATTTAATTTAGTATAATTTACATTATCTTCTAAATTAAATTTCATTTATTCATTTGTATTGTCCAAGTATATTTAACTTTACTACATCTATCACTCAAGTTTGAGTGGTGTAGTGGTTGCTTGCTTGCCATGCTCTTTATGTGGTCACAGGTTCGCACCCATGAGACATGAATTTTTTTTTTTTAAATTCAATTTCTCGCGATATATTCAATATATTGTGAGAAATTCAATTTATCATAAATATAT